AGTAAAGAAAAATCTTAAGCGCCACACTAGCACTCAAGCATTTCATCAACTTTTAATCATATCTTCATTAAAAAAAAATAAAACTTCATACATGCAACCTGCAATTATAGACACTTTTACTGTTGATAAGTTAATTAGTCCACCAAATTGGCATTTTTGTGAGCACTAATGAGCAAATGCTGGAAAATTCCAAATTAAAAAAGGAGTTTAAATAAATACATATTCATACATACAGTACATGTGGTCTACTGTCATATATGTAGATATTCTAGACCTATTTTTCCATGCACCTACCACAAATATGCCTCTAAATATAGCTCGCTTCATATATTGCTTGGCATAATTAGTCATCATGTTGATTGGAAGTCTTTTGTGAACCGGAAAGATATAAGTTTTTAGTTTGATTTTGGCAATAATATAGCAGCAAATAGTTTGTATTTAAGCTAATTGATTAAAGTGACTAGACGTTTCGGGCGAGTAAACTAGACTCTAATGAAAAAACACCATCCAAGAGTATCTCCAAACAAATTTCAACATTTAGGCTTTTCCGGAAGTCAAGCCTGTTGAAAAGCACTGGACAAAACAAGAAATCAAAGAATAAGTAGATTCTCTCTTTTTTCTACATAGAAGCAGTAAGTATATGATATTCAGGCCAAGCAATCATTCAGGGCTATCGCTAAATCTATTGTAGTCCGCATATTTGTGAAAGCAACGAAAACACGATCACTGAATCCGAATTGCTACGAACGCAGCCATTCACAGTATATGGGGCCCTTAGAGGCTTCCATATTAGCATGAACTTAGAGTGAGGCTCCGCATGGGAATTTGTGTAAAACACGAGCTTACACATTTTCCTATATGGAGATTACCATACCAACATACCCAGGGGGGTTCCGCGTTTGCGGGGCTACGGGTGTCATAATCCGGTTACCCCTGTTAGAGACTACCAGTACTGAGTCGGTTGGAGTCTTAATTGATAGAAGAGTCTACGGATTTCGAGGTCTTACCAGTGACTTAAAACCGGGGACCGCGGGCTAACAGATGCCCCTGGAGTGTCTTCGTTGGCTAGACAAGTAAAAATAGTGAGACAAACTAGGCTGAAACTAGAACATCTAAGATCGTACAGCTGGTAAGATTTGCAAGATGTGGCTCGTCAAGTAACTCGAGCGTGTGTAGAAAACCGGAAAAGGAGCAATAATCCATGCCTAATGGCCACCCGGGCAGGAAAGTACTCCCCAGTAAAGCTAGTAAGACTTGCGAGATTAGTAAGACGAGCAGTGTGAATGAGGTGAGTTAAGTGACTCGGAACAGGGGTTGAAAGTCCAAGACTGGGCGAAGCTGTTCTCTGATTAGGGAGACAGTGTTGGAGGTTGATGTATGATGGTAAAAGCAAGTCTGACTAGTTGTGGGGTCAAGCATGTGTATTATGGTAAGTTTAGTAAGTCGCGTGAGTTGAGCTGGTCGAGCAAGTCTGGCTGAGGAACACTACTGTCTGTTCAGTGAGGTACGGCCCCTTCGGAGAGTATCGCGGGGGCCGTGGTTTAATGCCTCAATTCGGGTAGAACTCGCAAAGGTTCAATATGGAGTGCATTTCAACCGGGTGCCGGGACCCAAAGAAGGCAGAGATTTTAAGTAGGTTTCGGCTTTACCAAAGTGGTAAGTGTGTCCCCACACCACTGCCTTTGGAACTGAAATGCTTGCATTTCAGGGCAATGATTAAGGCATGAATTAATCCGTTTAGCTTTTGAGCTTCATGGAGCTCGGATTGCATTTAATGCGGTAGGTGCCCACGTTAAACCTAAACTCCAGATTGGTTACAGGCGTTGATGGCTGATGTGTTGATTAGTGCCTATGAAAGTCATAGTGAGTGCTGAATGGCGAATTGGTTGGCAGATTTTGAATTTTGAGCTTTCCTAAGGCATCAAGCAATACGGAGGCGTTTGCCTAACTTGGCTGCAACTAGACAATGATCCGTTTGCTACTATTTTGATAAGCATACTTTGCTTAAGTGAGTACAGTATTTCCTCACTTAAGAATAAGCAACTGGTTAAAGGAATTCCTCCTTATGTGACTTCAAATGTGTGTTCTTGGAACTTATATTCAGTGAGTACTGTCCTTCTTAGTTTATATAGGTATGTATAATTATCAGCGGCACTTTTCTTAATTACTCTGATATGTAGTTAATTATCTGAACATGAATTTTATATCTCTAAAACTAACATGTTGTTATCGAATAAATTGATCAGTGGGTTAAGTATTTAGTCAATGTATATACATGAATAGTATGCACTTGTAAAGTGTATTCGTATGTATAGATAGTAAGTATATATTATACAATAAATGTATAAACAAAAAAAAAAACAACCACAGCTGCGGTAAATTAATTGAAATGACATTTTGATAGATAGATACATATTTACAACACAGCCCAGAATTTGGCAAAATTCGTGATTTTTTTTTTATGGGACACGATGTTTCAGGAGTAATTCACCCATGAGTGTGAGCATAGTTAAAGAAAAACCACGAAATGTTGCTATTGTTGGTCATAACATGGATTCGTAGTACAAAAAAGTATTACTTCCGATAAGGGATTGCCTCAAAGTCACATAGTTGAGACTTAGAAAAAGGCGTTATACTTTTTCCATTCTTTCGGAATGCCCGTGAAATTTTTTCGTGACTTTTTTTTGCAATTTTGGAGCCTGCTTTAGACTATTGAGATAATTGGGAACTTACTGCTCCGAAAGTATACATATTTCAATACTGATTTTACTTTTTATGAATGTTTATAAAAGGAAACGTAAACATACTGCAAATTTTCTGATTAAATGGCTGTTTGCGGTTCTCATGAAAAATTACAAGCCCTTTTGTTGTAAGTTAGTTGAAAAAGTACTTTGCTGTTGCTGTAAATTTTCTTGAAGAAATAAATATACGAGCACTTTTTTCTTGAGAGCTGCAAGTTCATTTTGAAGATTTGATTACACACAGGTGAATAATAAAAAACTCAGTGCGTGTAGTCCCTACGCGCGGAAGAAGTGAAACTTAATAGAGGAAATTCTTCATCTTCATCTTCATCTTCATCTTCATCTTCATCTTCATCTTCATCTTCATCTTCATCTTCATCTTCATCTTCATCTTCATCTTCATCTTCATCTTATCTTTATATTTGTTTTTGATTATATTCTTGTCTTTGCATTAGTCTTTTCCCGCCCAATTGGCGTTTAACGCAGCTATTCGTTTTCTATACCCGTCATATGCTACCTGTACCGTGGCGTTAAATTTTTATCGCAAAAATAACGGAGCTATAATAATAAGATTTGCTTCAATAATTTGAGTTTAACTTTTTAAACAGGTGGCCACCCTCTTCAGGCACCTCAAAAATAGTTTAATTGTGTTTCTGTAAGCTCTTTCTGTACTGTATAGTATTTTAAGCGTAAGACTTTTGTATAATTTAACTAAATTTTACTTTTGAAACAGGTGGCAAACCTCCTACATTTAGCTAGAAAATACAACTTATTCAAAACCATTTCTTTTGATACCCATATTAGGATAATTCGTTTAACTTAATAAATAATTTGAATTTGATTTTCGTATATATGGCAACCCTTTAAAAGACTAAAACCATACTGCACATCTGCAGTGACACCTCATTTTTGAACATCGTACGAACGATACAGATTTTATGACTTGATGTTAAATATTTTACGCAACCCTCTGCGGCAGAGAAATTTTGAATTCGATTTTCTAACATGTGGCAACTCCTTTCATGGAACTAAGGCTATGGTGTACACTCGAAGTACAAGGCCTTTCATGTGACACCTCATTTTTAAAAATCGAACGAACGATACAGATTTTATGACGTGGTGTTAAATATTTAACGCAACCATCTCCGAACTCGATTAAGAAGTTTCACTTCAATAAAAATTGATAAAAAGCAAAAAGTATGCACACTAGACTACATCAATCCCCATAAAAAAAAGACGGAATTATAAAATCTATTTTATTTCAAGACTTGCACTAAAATATTTCGGTAAAATATTAAGATTTACGTGAGCTGGACCGATTTGAAAATAGCTCCAAATATTTTTTATGAATAGAATTTGTGTTAAAAAAAAAATTCAACGGAATTATAATAATGAGATTTTTGATACCAATTTTGAACTTTTTTCAGAGAATAACTCAGTCAAAACTTTACTGATTTGGATTTATGAGGTGTCATTGGAATGCTATTTATTTATTTGAAAATAAACACATTCAAAATTTCGAAATTTTTTTTTGATATTATTATGCAACTTTTTTAATCTTACTTTGAAGAAATAATTTTTATTCTTAAAAACTCAAATTTAACTCACATAAATCTAAATATTTTTCCGAAATATTTTGCTGGAAGTCTTCAAATATAATAAGTTTAGTAATCCCGAAAGAAAAACCGCAACTTTTGTTGGTGATGCAGTCTAATGTACATATATACATGAAATTGTCCCGAAAAAGGTCCTGAATTAGGCCCGAAATGATACCCAAACGTCCCGAGCTAGTCCCGGAATGGACCCGAATAACTCCAGAGGTAGTCCCAAACTGGATTGAAACTAGTCTCGAAATAATCCCTATAAAGTTATTTTTACAAATCAAAAAGGCTTCTTTAATGCTTTTCAATTTTCACACCACCCATCTTCACTCAGAAATTATTATTTTATAAAATACGGCAGTGTGAATAGCGTTGAAAATGTTCATTACCAATATATATAATCTACTTATGTATATGTACATCGATTTAAAAAAAATTAAAATCCATTCGCTCCATTACAAATCATTATCGCATTACTCTCACTTGTGACGTATTTAAGCATTAAGCTAAATGGCAGTGCATATGTATGTATGTACATATGTACCACATTGTATCCTATCATACATTTAGCAGCCACGCATATTTACATACATACAAATGTACATATATACATATGTGCATTTACACACATAGAGACATTAAATTATCTAACACTTACCCGCTTCGATAAGCAACACTTTCCATTGCGGCACCTCGGACAGACGTGAAGCAACCACCGAGCCAGCCGAACCGCCGCCAATCACAATAAAATCATAGTCATAATCCGGCTCCGATCGAAACTGTCAAATGAGAAAATAATAATATTGGTATACATTTTTGTCGCTAATGTAAATGTTGAGATTTTCGACTAAAGAAATACATAAGTGAGAAAAGTTAAAAAGTGATAGTCATATGTATGTAGAATGATGCCATCATAAACAGCGTAAAAAATACATACTTTTTTTTTATATTACTTAAACAGGTCGATAAATATTTCTAACCCACGTATTATGCATTTGTATGTAACTAAATTAATATGTACCACTGCAGCACGGGAGATGGTTTCTAGTATCGGGAAGCAAAGGCATACCAGAAAAAGAAGAGCAAGCATATATACCAGCTAATTAGCGCAACTAACTGCCATCCCTAAATTGGCGCGTCAAGCGCCAAACAACTGTCAAAAATCCTCATGCCCATACAATTTGTATGAAGCATCCCACAATAACGCGGCGCTAACGCCGAGCAAATGGAATTTTCATTTTTGACAGGGCGTTACGTGTTGAAGTTGGATGCGGAAGACGGAAAGAAAGAGAAAGGACAAAAAAGTGAAAGAGGAAACGAGAATAAAAACGAGAGGATCTGAGAAAACGTCAAAAATTACGACGCGTTGATTTGGGGATAGCGCGCGCTGACACTCGTCGACAATGGATAACGCAACGCTTAGCGCTCCAATTTAGGGACGGCAGTAGGTTTCATAAATAAATGTCCGAGGATTGGAGTGTCTGTGGACTTTGCTCAATCTAGAAGAAGAGATTTCTAGTCGTTTGCACCAATTAGCGCAGACAAACAACTGGCACGCATCACCATTTCATTGAATTTAGAGCCGCTTTTTATAGTAAGAAGACAGGGTGCCTCGATGCTATGTTACAGTTTTAGACCGCCGAAAAACGAATACGATTATTTGGAGCAAAATCATGTGGCCAAAACGGGAATTAAGTAATAGATCAGGGTAGCTTCTTACACTGAGCAGCGGAGAAATCTGCTTGGCCATAGGTCTGCTCACTTCCCTTATTACTCTAGCAAAGGTATGCGTAGAGACTCGTTGTGCCGTTCAATGACTTCTGCAGAAGCTGCAAGGACGAGGAGGAGCCTGAATCAGTAAGACGAATTAAAAAAAAAAAAATGTGTTTGTTGTATGTAAGCGAAGCCGAGCCACTGTTTAGTTCTTGTAGGCCAACTGAGCTACTGGGTGCGTACCCCTGATTTAGAGTGTCGATAAGCAAAGGTTTAGCTACTTATAAATTTTACAAAAGTTAAGTTTAGTTTACAAAAGACTCAAAAATTGTGTCTAGTGTTGAAAAAATTAATGTCAAGTTTTTAAATTACAAAAAAAAAATTCCCCTCTTCAAATGATAAAAGTTTATGTTCAGTTTTCACAAGACCAAATAATTATGTCGAGCCATTAAGTGCAAAAAATGTCCAGTTTTCAAATGATCAAAATTTTTACTTAGTTTACAAATTTATGTCCAGTTTTTAATAAACAAACATTTTTACCCAGTTTTCAAATGACCACAAATGTATGCCCGGTTTCAAAACGACTTAACATTTTTTATGTCGTGTTTCGATCAATTTTTAATGACCAACAACTTATGTTCAGTTTAGACATGACCAAACATTTATGGCCAGTTTTTAAAGTACCCAAAATTTGTTTTCGGTTTTCAAACCAAAAAAAATTGGATTTGTATTAAATTTTTATAGCAACAAAATTGAAGAAGTCTGATAAAAGATACTCTGAGTAGTAGCTTAAGTATCTTATTTTTTTCAGTGTGCTGCATTTTTAGTTGAATTTGTTCTAAATACAATTTTTTACTTTATAGCTGCGCTTTTTATTAAAAAAGAATTGTTATTTTCAAAAGAAAAAATATTTTGATCAATGAAATGTGTGACTTTGAAAAGCTTAAAAGTTGCGTTGTTACAGAGATTAAGTAAATTAATCGAAACACCTCAGTTTTAAGAGCGCAATGCGATATATATACCTTCTTCAAAAGAGGCACAACTCAAAATTTTAAATTTTTGAAATTATGCGCCGAAAATATACACAAAGCTTTTATTTACCTTTCTGCAAAAGTTGAAGCAATTTTCGTTTTGATTTGTTATTTGTTAAAAAAAAAAACCAAGGTAAAGTCTCCCTTGCCCATATGAATATCATGTGCTCAGAAATAGTTTTTCGCATTTTCTACCAAACGTGTAATTTTAAGTTGTGCCCCTTTTTTCTATCCATGTACACACATACAAAGATGTAGTTACTTGTAATAACTGCTTGCCTGACTTTCAACCTATCACGCGAGAATCTATTTTTTTGTTTGCTTTTTTATAATTTTCATAATTCTTAATTCAACTTTCGACTTACCCTTGGCGTGGCGCGGCCACAGGGATCCTCGAGATCGCATTGTGAACGAATGAACACCTCGAGCAGACCCATGAAGAGCATGAATGCGCTGCCGCCACAGGTGGAGGCCAATGTGGGACCGGTTGGCACGCTCACCAGGCAATCGCAGCGGCTAGCTGACATGTTGGCTATTTGCTATATGCCGACAATCTATGTAAATATGTTATCTCTTGCTGCTGTTGTATGTATTTTATTATTCGCAATTTGAATAATACTCGCCGTGTATTTGCTTGCCGGTTTAATATTTTGATTTTGAAAGTAACACTAAACGGTGCACTTTTCCACTGTTATTTTACGCTGCTAGACGTAGGTATATATGTATATGTCTTTTAGAGTTGTTGCACGTTTTCTCACTGTTTCGATATTTATTTTTTATTTTCCCAAGCTCCGTTTATTAGCGATTACCGGCTGTCTGCACGTTTGTTACCAATTTGGCTTACTGTTTTTTGCTGTTGTTGTTTTTGCATTGCCTGCAATAAAAAATAATGCGAATAAAAAACAATTAAAGTCATTTCAAATCTATGGGCGCAGAGTAGCTGGAGTTAGTGTGAGTAATATTAGCAGCGTGGCAATCCATTGCCACCGCATTTAGAAGCTCTACATACCTATTGGGACAGCGAATTTTTCAAAATATATGCAACAATTTTTATTCAAATATTTTTTTTGTATTCTAATATTTTTTTTGTATAAAAATGTGGTTCATTCTACAACAAAAAACATAAAAATACAATTCCAAAACTTTCTGCAAAACTCGCGAAAATTCGGCAAACTTTCATGCAAATTTTCTACTTTTTAACCAGATTTTTTAGAATTTTTTTGAGTATGCAGTTTTGTAGCCCCATTATTTTTATTGTAATAAAGTACAAGTCTCTTTCACACAAAAAATGGTTTGTCGAAAATACTTTATATGGAAAAAATGCAAAACACTTTCAACAAAAAATCCTCAAAAATCAATTCGATTTTCAAAAAAGTCTAAAAATTATGTTTTTATGTTTTTTGTTGTAGAAGAGGCCACATTGTTATATAAAATTGGCGGAAAAATATTAGAATAAAAATTGTTGCATATATTGTGAAAAATTTGCTGTGCTAATACTTTGTTCCGGCAGTGTATAAAATTTTTGGAAAATTCAGCAAGTTTTCATCAAAATGTCAACTCTTTACTGAATTTACAGAATCTTTAGAACATTTTTAGGTATGCAGTTTTGTAGTCCATACAATTTTAGTTGAATGAAGTGCAAGTTTTCACGCCCAATTAATTCCGTTGATTTTTGATATTTTTTTTTTTTGGTGCCGGATATTTGCACTTTTTTCCATTAATTTCTTACGAAATAAAAAGCTTGGGACCGTTAGCAACAAAGTTTCAAAAAATCAGGGCCACTTTATGTAAATTTCAGTTTTTAGATATATAAAAAAAACCGCAAAAGCAGTCTCAAGAAAAAAATTTCTAAAATCAAAGCAATTTTGCAGCCGGTTGAAACTTCCACTTTATTAGAAAAAAATTGTATTGACTATAAAACTGCATACCTAAAAATGGTCTAAATATTTGATGAAAATTTGCTGAATTTTCCTAAATTTTTTTTTAAAGTTTGAAAGAGTGATTTATATTTTTTTTTGGTTAAAGCTTGGACGGTATTTTTATAGAAAAAAAAATATCTCGAGAAACATTACGAATATTGAAAAAAGTCAACACATGGTCTTTTTGTTTGTCACAGTATGTATGTACGTGTTAGGAAATTAATACAGAAATGAACAACACACTCGTATGGGAATAAGTTAGAAGGAATACATAAATTTCAAAAAAAAATTCTTATTTATGTATTAATCAACACAATTTTTTACACTTGAAAGTGGTAGGCACGCCCTCCCTTCTTGTGGGCCGAAACATTATATTTCTTCTGATTTCGATGCAATTTTTTTTCTATTCCTCTTTTATTTTAAAATCCTAAATGCAAAATATGGGAAGCTCGGATCACTATAACGTCTAAAACTCAAAAAAATATATGTAGGTGTGAAATTTCTATTGTTCGAAAAATTATTTCCGCGAAATTACGAAAAAAGCTGAAAATCGAAAAATTAAGAAAACCGATAATTACATACATATATTTGCCAAGTCGCCATCTATAATCGAATAACGAGGTCTGGTAGAATCTTGCTCTTTTAGCACAAAAGGTACNGGTGTGAAATTTCTATTGTTCGAAAAATTATTTCCGCGAAATTACGAAAATAGCTGAAAATCGAAAAATTAAGAAAACCGATAATTACATACATATATTTGCCAAGTCGCCATCTATAATGGAATCTTGCTCTTTTAGCACAAAAGGTAAAAATTTGACTTTTATAAAGATAAGTTAGAAAAACAAGTTTAAAAAAATATACGCGGCGAGCAGCTAAAAATGAGATTTTCTCAGTTATTTTTAAAGTAGAAATTTGCGGAAGTGTTCGACTTTTTGCTTATCTGTGCATAAAGTCGTTTTATATTTCGGAATAAAAGAACAGGGTTTAAGCTTTCTTAACATCTTTTTAAAAATATTCCATCGCGTTCTGTTTTTATATTATAACGGTTAAAATTATGTTAATAATTGGATTTTTTATATTTTTAAGTTAAAATATCTAAAAAACTAGAGCCAATCTGAAATTGCTAAGGCAGATTCGAATTTTGCGTACAAATATATATATAGGAATCAGCTGCAAAATTTTGTTGGCTGGTATAATTTAATAACTGCTCTCGGCCACGATTGCTTATCGTAAAAATAGGCACACAATTATGTTCATAAAATTCTTGAATGACTCAAAAAGGAGCAGCTGCAGAAAATATCCCGCAGCGAATTAAGTTTTTCTTTATTTGCGTTTTTTTTTTAATAAATAACTTAAAAGAAGACACAAGAAATAGCAGCAAGCAACCTTTTTGAGTATTTGTTGATGGAGTGATTTTTTGTTGTGTGTGACAAAAAACACGACCAACGTTTTCTTACTCCTATTCCTATTATAAGCGATCTAATTACACAATTATGCCAAGAACTAAACTTTACACAAGCACCAGTGGAAAATAAATATTAAAAAAATTAAACCAGGCATATAGAAAATAAGAGACAAAAATAAAAAAAAATAAATAAAAACATTTATCGATAAGCATAAAGCCTTATTAATAATTTCCTACGCAAAAGTTCACATGACCTTAGTCGTAAAACGTGAAAAAGAGGCGAAGAGCAATAAAAAAAGGTAAACAAAATTACCATAAAAATCAAAAGGCAACAATAATCTACCAAAAAATATCAATTTACCGTTATTGTGGTGGCTGGCAGCGCCTACCTTCTGTCGGCAGTAGCAATTTCAGCTCCAGTTTTTTGTTGCTGCCACAAGGCCACTGAGAAACTACCGCAAATAGAAATAAATGTAACGAAAAAAAACAACACCAACAACCAGTAGCAATGAAATCGTATTTCATTGCACATTAACCGTACAAAAAAAAAAATAAATAAAAAAATATATATATTAAATTAAACCTATTTTATGAGCAACTAACTGAGCATTTTGCTTTTCGAAATGTTGCAAGTTCCCTCGGCTGCTATTGTTTAACTGTGCTTCTATTTTGGCAATATAATAACTTAAATCGATTTCTAAAAAAATTGCTTCTTTGAAGATTCATACTTACAAGCTGAATAAATTGATCACACTAAGAAATGATGGGAAAAGACGGAGCTTAAGTCAAATGACCTGATTGACAGGCATTTAATGATTTGTATAGCACATTGCAAAACAGATGCCCCAGATCATAAGCGGATTTTGNAATATATATATTAAATTAAACCTATTTTATGAGCAACTAACTGAGCATTTTACTTTTCGAAATGTTGCAAGTTCCCTCGGCTGCTATTGTTTAACTGTGCTTCTATTTTGGCAATATAATAACTTAAATCGATTTCTAAAAAAATTGCTTCTTTGAAGATTCATACTTACAAGCTGAATAAATTGATCACACTAAGAAATGATGGGAAAAGACGGAGCTGACAGGCATTTAATGATTTGTATAGCACATTGCAAAACAGATGCCCCAGATCATAAGCGGATTTTTTTTTTTTTTTTTTTTTTGTTAAGTTCTATATGTACATATTTATGTATACCCTCTATATTTTCTTCCTTTTGCCTACAAAGCGTATAGTATACTAAATATTAATACAGATAAAGATGACTGCATATAACCTGTAACCCACTTTAAGTTGCTCTTTTTGTTAAGAAGTTGTGCTCTAAAAAAATTAATTTAATACTCGCTGCGCGACGTCTTAGTTCCCATGAATGTTTTTCTTAAGATCAAAAATAATCAATTTGCCACTCTTGGAAATCGAGCATAGATTTTTGATTTTAAGAGGCTAGACTTTCTGCACTGATCCGAACTCCAACAACTTTTCGACTAAATTCGTGGACAACTTCGGCTTTTTGAGCGATCGAACCTGCTGCCACCCACTATCCGTGTAGATTTATTTACAGAACGAAATGAATATTTAAATAAATATTTGGCGCTCTTATCTTCATCTTCATCTTCATCTTCATCTTCATCTTCATCTTCATCTTCATCTTCATCTTCATCTTCATCTTCATCT